AGCTGTCTTCATTGCCTTCTTCTACGAACCTCTCATGCGTGCTGAAGTGGCGGCGCACGTGAGCATTCGCAACATGATTCGAAGCCTCACTCTTGGCCTTAATGTAGGACGATGTAATCGCCGCTGGATTAGCGTTGTTGCATGATAGTAGAGAGAGGACCAGGAGAAGTATGAAGCAATAGAAACGCATATGTTGTCTTGCTAGTTCCTACTTGGATGCAAAATGTGATATGCCCGGTTCCTCCGCAGGTAGCAATGCAGAGAATTATGATTGTTGTTATCTTCGGATGGGATGGTCGAGACAAGACTGGTTCGTCACCATTTTCATTTCAAGTGCTATGTGTTATCGTCTGGATATTCACGGGCACTACTCTATCAAGTGGGACGCTAAAGATAACTATCGTTGTTGATGCAAGGAAGGCCAAGTCAACCGTCAAATGTAGCACGCAGGACGTGAACTACAGTTTACAGTTAACAATTGTCTTCCACAGACGATATGTCTGTACATTATGAAAAGTATGCTACTACTAAAGTAAGGTGATGTTTACAAACGCTTACAAACGTATTACTTCTAAAGTAAGGTGATGTTTACAAACACTTACAAACGTATTACTGCATGTACCGCAATCAGAGTCTGATACTGTAAGGTAGTACGCCAGTTTCGTGCACTCGACCAGTTTGTGCCGTTTATTTTTAGCCAATCAGAACTTGCGGGTTCTGCTATTTCTCTGTTTTTATTGGCTATTTCAATTGTGGCAAAAACAATTTGAGCTGGATAAGCCTCAATGGATTTGGTCTCTTACAAGCTTCTAATCAAAAAGCGGCAGGAAACAGGTCACCCCGCTAAAATAAGGACATTCAAAAGCAGAGCTATCAGTGCCCCCGAATCATGCAGCAATAACAGTGCTTTGGGCATCAAATTGTCCGAAAGAGCGCTTTTCATGAGTGATTTTATCGCTGAAAATTGATATCACAGTGAAAATTTATGCTGATATAAATTTAAGACTTCTAAAAGTGGTATGACACTGGCACAATACCTTAACACAATTTTAACATAATGGGTTAACGGATACTCCCGTCTTTCCCGAATAATTAATTTTAGATAAAGCTATCTAATTTAAAACCTTATACTAAA